GGTATAGTCAAAGATTTGGAAACCATCCATCAGAATGTTTGAGGTTCTCTTATGGTAAAAATCAACAGTTGCTAGTTACAAGTTTGGTTTGTACAAGCAATTTGGAATCGGGCAGTGTCTATCAGACAATAATGATGTACCCAAGACCTTCAGTTTAAATACATATACATAGAAAAAGGCAAAGTCTTATTGATAGTGAGACGGCATCATCTATGAAATCATTTAGTAATCATCGACTCTACCACCAGGCATTACGTTCCTCTCCGGTGGCCAGTCTGAAGAAGAAGCGACCCTGAACCTGAACGCCATCAACAAGGTCCAGATGAAGAAACCCTGGACTCTGACCTTCAGTTACGGGCGAGCTCTCCAAGCTTCCGTCTGGAAGACCTGGGCTGGCAAAGATGCCAATGTGAAGAAGGCGCAAGCAGAATTGTTGAAAAGGGCCAAGGTAATTAACCTTATAATATAGTTGTTGCAATTTACAAAGGCGAGTGAGCTTTACATGTGTGGGCCAACACAACGAGCCATCGTTACTGTTCGTTTTTCAAGTTTTGTTAAACATTACACTATCGTTATGTGCACATGCACACAGGTACACAGACAACCTTCGTGAGTTGCAAGAACTATACTGTTTCGAGCTTTTGTAAATATGATATAAACAGTTATGGACTGAAACTCGTTGCCTGCTGAATCTGACACAAGACTTAGCTGGGTCTCTTTAAGACAAGAGTGAATAGGCACTTATTGGACAGGTATGTTCAAAAGCCTATTCACTATATCACCCTAGACCACATCTAATCTTAGCATCAGGTGTTTCTCAAATACCTGGGCTTTCCAAATATGTAAAAAGTCACTGTTATACTTCGAACTGTTCTTATATTCTTCGCTGATTTAATTCTTAGCGAGTTTCATGACAGCCAGATTTTTCCATGGGAAAAAATTGCCCTTCACTGGTTGGAGTCTAATTTATTCAGGAGTGGTTCTTCAGGAGTTGCAGAAGTGGGAACGAAAGGTGGGAAGAGTCTCATATCCTGGCTTCATAATAAATGGATGAAGTATGGAAATGTTTGTTTATGTTACAGGCTAACGGTCTGGCATCTTTGGGAAGGTACGATGGTTCACTGACATCAGCTGCAGGGGCCAAGTTCAACTTTAGCGCGAACCACACTTATTAATGATAGAGCAATGTAAAAGGTCAATTGTAAATAAAAATCAATATTTTTAACAACTTTGATTTATTTGTTATAAAATAAAGTCAACTTATAGTAGTGTAGTGACAAAAATTGTACCCACAGTGGCTTTATGGAAGTGGAATTATCGTTATAATGCCAGCCTAACTTCAAGTTTTAACTCTTTGTCAGTATGCAGGTACATTTCCACTTTTCACATAGGTAAGCCATCCCCAAGAAAATACATACCTAGAAGACGATCTCCTTCTTTTTTCATTTTACACCTCTTTTCTTGAGATCGTCAGTCCATTTAGCAGTGTCACCCTAAGTTTAAGATTAATGAAAACATGATTTATGGAGGCAATTTTTGTATGAAAATCTTAGGCTGAGTTGCACCACCTTATTTTAACCGTGACTATAATCATAACCGGTGTTTTTGTATGAAGTTGACAGATTTTGACGTTTGTTAAAGTTAAAGTAGGATGGTCCAACCCAGCCTTACTTTTCTGAAGTCATTTAACATTTCTTCCAGAATTATTAATTTCCAACAAGCAGCTTTTATGCTAGATTACAAATGATATACAGCCAAAGTTCAAGCACCAAGCAGAACTTTGCCTGGGTGCTAACTGGAGCGTGTCTAGATCTAGACCGACTTTATCCGCAACTTCGGCTGCTACGAAACTTGGCCTGCGACTTGCATAATGCATACTTATGTAGGTAAGTAGGTATTGGTCATAATATCTTACATTACATTAGGAAACCTTTAATGCAGGGCCATAATATAGAGGTATTCTGTAGTGTACTGATTAGGTACGCCTCAAAAAACTGACAAAATAAGATTTTAAGAAGAACAAGAATAATCTATAATGATGTAAAACAACAAAAGAAAGTCCGTAAACGAACTAAAGTCGCTGACATAGCCCAACGGAAATGGGTAGGGCACATGTAGTACGCAGAACTGACGGGCAGCAAGGTTCTGGAGTGGAGGACGCGTACCGGAAAACGCAGCGTGGGACGTCCACCAACAAGGAAGACCGACGACATCATAAAGGTAGCAGGAAGGCGCTGAACACAGGCCGCTACCAATAAATCAACATGGAAATCATGGAAGCAGTGGACGTCCTATGCTGAAAGGATGATGATGATGAAAACAACAAAATTAGTAATAATTGAAGAGACCCACTAGTAATAGTTGAAAGAAACTTTAGCATATTTCCATTCATAGCATAAGCAGTCGATTCTTAGTGTACTTATTGCCAACTAAAAAGGACTGTGATGAAATGAATAAGTACCTACAGGAAATCGCACCAAAAATGTTATATCACGTAATATTACATTATCTTTGAACATTATTTAATTAAAAGCTACTCTTTAATAATAAATACGCAGCCATTAATTAAATCTGCTCTCTGACGAGGGTGATATTTCAGAGGAATAATTAAGATTCATAAGCTAACTGCATTAATCACCTCTAGGTTCATTAATTTTGGGAATTCTTATTATTCGCACTTCTTTTTCGCGAAATCTGACTATTATTTTTAATAATAAGGGGTGGAACGTGTTAGTATAATGACCATATAGACGAAAGGAGTTCCTACCCAAGAGGTCTCGGGTTCGATTTCTGGTGATTACGAGTTAAATCTCACAGAAATACTTCATAGCACACGTTCCCCGAAATCCGGGATAAAAACTATCCTATGTTTTTTCTTGAAAAATTAAATTACCTTAACTTTTTTCAGGAGTCACTCTATCTACTGGTTATAACCACATGAAAATTCGTTTAGTAGTTTTTGAGAACAGACGCGGCGCTTTGTTCTATGATAAAATAACCACATGAAAATTCGTTTAGTAGTTTTTGAGAACAGACGCGGCGCTTTGTTCTATGATAAAATTATGTAATTTTAATCTAATAGGAGTCCGTAATTCCGCATACATATAAACACAAAAGAAAGCATCCACCTTTTACTGACCACTAAAATCTTCTACCCGTAGTTGTACAGCAAAAAAGTTACTGGTACGTAAAGCAAGTGCACATAAAATGGTGGCCACACAATGTTAAATGAAAACTGTCTGGAATGTGTTGTAGGGCCTGTCCAGCGTAGTGTGGTCTCTAAATCAGGGGACCACACGATTAATTACGAGGGGACAACCGCAAGCTCGGTTCGGATAGGGTGCCCATGCTACGGGGGGAAAGTCCTGTAAAAATTCTACATTTTTAAGTACGGATGACGGAGTCGATATTTTGTTATGCCCGTTTTCACCTTCAATCCCTTTTTAAGTGACCCCTTATGAATTCCTGTTACCATAGGGGTCTCTTAAAAATTAAGGATTGAGGTGAAAACGAGTACCTTATTAATCTGTTCCTTGGTATATAATAGTCAACCACACCTCAGACATTTTTGTTGAAAAATGGCATCTATTTTTATTAAAACTGTATGTATAGAATGAGCGGCGTGGTGTACTCGTACATTGTGAAAGTTTGCTTTGACCTACAATAATATACTGCAGGACAATTACCAGACAATAACCTAATACATACTCATTTTAGCCATTTCTGAGAAGAATCAGCGCAAAAAACTTTTGCATTCCCGAAGTATTCTGCTCCAGGGGCATGCAATTTTGTATCCCAAGTGCAGAAATAACAGTCTAGTTGACCATCCTAAAATAGCTCACGCTAGTACCCTTTTGACGGCAAAAGGTGTTCACAAGCCTTTGAACGCTTTGAGGAGAATCTTTGAAGGGAAGATCGTTTCCGTTCTACAAACAACCATTTGCAGTTCATGTTTATTTTGCGGTACGGTTACAGGTCGTGTGGGAAACATCAACATTTATTTCTTGGCTTCCACCGCTCTTCCGCTGTAGTGATGGTATAGGACTCGATATATCGATATGTATTCTTGATCAGTCTGTGGCCAAGACTGTAGCGACAGGCTTACAGCTCGTGTGGGAAACATGAACATTTATTTCTTGGCTTCCACCGCTCTTCCACTGTAGTGCTGGTATAGGACTCGATATATCGATACTTCTTCTTGGTTAGTCTACTTGTGATCACGACTGCAGCGACATAGCTGAAACTTCAAGCAGTAGTCATTACCTACCTACCGTTGGAGGTTCGTCGTTCTCAGTTTCAAATATCGATAACATCATGCATGATGATTCCAAGAACTGATCAGTTTTTATTGATTCTAAAATAGGTACTATAAATTCGAATAATCTGGAGATTAATCCTTCCATTCGATGTATCGAAGATCTCGTGAAGGCTGTGGGATGCGTTTAAAATGAGAGACCAGTCCTCTGAAAATTTTAAGGAAGGTGTTCGTCCAAATGTACGTCTTTTTGTTTATACCAGCTCTTATCATTGCTTCTGGGCAATAATTACAGTACTAAAAAGAAGCTATACGTATTATGAACCTTAGTCACTAACATGCAGTAACGATGTATGTGTAGGTACCTAGCCTACCTAATAACCTAAGTAATATAAATGCAATAACAAGTCATGAGAATATCAGTCTAGGTACACACGACAGCACATCAGGCTAACCATTTTTGTTGCAAACTCGCCCCTATTACAACTGCACAAGAACCCGCAGTGATTACACGTTTGCGTGCCGCGCGTCGTCTGTACTTTATGTTACCAGTGGGTGAACGAGCTTCTGCCAAAACTTGAATTTTCTCTCTTATCGATAAAATAACACACATCACTACTGGTCCATAAAACTCCTAGTTTGCACTGTAATGCAATAACTACATAATAGTACAATAGCATTCTGTTACAGCTGCAAGCTGCGAGCTTTGTTGGAAGGTTTATTTGGCACACTTTTATGTTTCTACAAAGTAGGTACCTAGTTATTATAAAATGGTTTTAAAATGGCCAACAATATTGTTATACATAATCAAACAACATTACATAGTATCTCAGTGATACTCGTCTATGTTCTATCATTGGGAGGCCTATGTTCAGCAGTGGACGTCCTATGGCTAAAAATGATGATGATGACTCGTCTATGTAAGTATTACGTGTTACGATCTTGTAAGCATGTACATATTATTATTAATATTGCATGAATTAAATTAATAGAATCTGAAGTTATTTCAAAAAATCATCGTCTCTATAGAGTCTATACAACTAGCGCTTAAATCAGCCAGTGTCTGAGGTATGCGACACGGGAAGGGTGACATTGAC